CCAGGTTCTTTTGTCAAAGCTTAACTGAACAAGCTGATTGGCTACCATATACAGCTGCACCAAGTTTTTCAATCTCCAGTTTTAGTAAATCAACCCAAATAATTTCATTGTCTCTATGACAGAGTACACAGTCCAACTATGTGTGACCAAGGTGTTTACTAGGACATTCACGGAAATATTACCATAGGAGCTAAAATGTTAAGTACCACATCCTAGTTAGTATCATCGTATTGTGCTCTTTCAAAACAACCATACCATCTTTTCTCAGAGCAGCCTGCACTTCTCTTGAGGATTTTACCTATCCCTTTCAGATATCTATCTTTATAAAGTTCTATTGCCTTGTTACACAGGTCTTTTGATAGTTCTTTTCCGTGGCTCAGTATCTAGCCTGCTCCATGCATCCATATGAGAGCTAACAAACTATTTATACACAGACACTAATTGCAATTTAAAAAGCCACAGCTGTGGGAAACTAACCTTTAATTGACATTTTCACCTTGTGCGTCTGTACCAAGGCCAAACATTCCAGGGTATTTAAACTTTTGATCATTGCTATTTGGGTGATTTCTGTTATTATGTAAAAAGGAGCCAAAACAACTATGTGAGAATAAATGGCTTCATATGATCACTGTCCTTAACCACTTGCCCTTCAGAAGATTTACCCCCCCTTCATGACCAGGCCATTATTTGCGTTATGGCGTTGCCTTACTTTAACTGAAAATTGCATGGTCATGCACTGCTGCACTCATAAGAAATTTACATTCTTTTTTTTCCCCCACGAATTGAGCTTTCTTTCGGTGGTATTTTATCGCCTGTGCGGTTTTAATTTTTTGCGCTTAAAAAAAAAAAGGCAGACAATTTTGAGAAACAAAAAATATTTTACATTTTGCTATTAAACTTGTCCAGTAAAAAAAGTGAAAAAAATCAAAATTGTCATACATTTACACCAAAATGTATTCAGCTACATATCTTTGCTAAAAAAAATCCCAATATCTGTAAATTAATTGGTTTGCATGAAAGTTATAGTGTTTATAAATGGCGGTATATATACACTTGGATTTTTTTTTCTTTTTTACTAATGGCAGCGATCAGCAACTTATAGCGGGACTGACACACTGGGGGGGAACTGACTAGGTGTCATTGACATGCCCAGTGACACCAATACAGTGATCAGTGCTAATAAAAAGCACTGACACTGTACTAATGGCACTGGGCAGGAAGGGGTTAACATGAGGGGCGGTCAAAGGGTTAACTGTGTGCTGGGAGTGTTGTACTAGGGGGCGGGATGTGTGCGATTTACTTTAATCACACTGCTGTGTATGGTTGTGCTGTGCACAGCCATCCACAGTATTGTGACCGAGCAGACAGGGAGGAGAACGGTTAGTAAACAAAAAACAGTCCTCCTCCCCGTCGGAGATCCTCGGAAATCACGGGGCACCGGCGAGTAATTGCCGGCCGGGGATTTGGTGATTGACAGCCATGGACGGGAACTGCCGCCCTGTGGCAGTATTTCTGCTAAAGGGTGGTCGGCAATCGGTTAAATAAAAACTTTTTTTAGCACGATCAGTCATATTTTCAATGTCAGTGCCAAAATTTCACGATTTCTGCCAGGGTACGCAAACTTTCAAGCACAACTGTACATTCACACATATACATATATATATATATTATATACAGTGCTCAGCATAAATGAGTACACCCCAACAGATTTGTCAGAAAACATTTACTTTCAGAATCAACATTTTCTATGGGACACTATACTACAAAATAATCCCACAAATGTGGGCCATTGATTAATTCAAGACCATGTTGCAAAAATGAGTATACCATAATGAAAGTCTTAGGAGCAAAGCTAAATTTTAGACAACTAAATCCTTATTAACAAGAATTCAACTACAGGTGAGTCTAATTATTCATTAAGCAGGTGTCCAGCAGACAGTTTGTTATAAAAAGGAAGTTCCTTAAAGAAAACCCCTTCCCATTTCATGCTGTCAGCAATGGCACCACATGGAAGAGAAATGTCACTAGGCTTGAGAAAGAAAATTTTTTTACACAAGAAAGGTGAAGGCTACAAGGGGATCAGAAAAGGTTTACTTATTTAGAATACTGTAGGAAAAGTGATACAATAATTTAACAAGGATGGAGCTGCAACCATCTCACAGAGACCTCCAGACCATCCACGGAAGTTAACACCTCGACAGGAGTGCGTCTTCTGATGAGAGGGTTGAAGGAAAAAATAAAAATAAAAAAAATCGCCATGCAAGTTCACTGCAGTTATCTAAAGAAGTAGAAAGCCAAACTGGGGTGATTGTTTCCTGTGACACAATACGGCCTACACTGCAGAATGGAATGCATGGGTGTCATCCACGAAGGAAGCCTCTCCTAAAGCCCATACACAAAAAACCTGCCTAGAATTTGCCAGAGCCCATGCTGGAAAAAAAAAATACTGGGCCTCTGTAATCTAGAGTGATGAGACCAAGATAAATGTTTTTGAAACTGATGGCTTCAAAACTGTATAGCATCACAAAGGTGAGAGAGTACAAAGAAAAATGCATGGTCCCTACAGTGAAGCATGATGGTGGCAGTGTCCTTCTGTGGCCTGCATGAGTGCTGCTGGTGTTAGGGAGCTTCATTTCATCATGGTATCATGAATTCACAGATGTACAGCTCTATATTGAAAGAGATGTTATCACTCCGTGCCCTTGGTCGTCGTGCTCTTTTCCAACAGGATAATGACCCAAAACACACATCGAAGACTACAGTTACATTTCTGAAGAACAGGGTGAAAGTGGCCAAGTAGGTCTCCTTATTTACACCCAATCGAACACCTATGGAGAATTCTGAAGAGACAAGTCGAGCACCACTCACTATCCAGCATCTAGGCTCTAAAAGAGGTCATTCTTGAAGAATGGAAAAATATAGATCTTGCAATGTGTCGCCAACTTGTGTATTCATTTTTGCATCAACTAATTTGAGTAAAACTGAAGATTTTGTAATCAAAGTTATATTATTAATCTTACTTTCATGTAATGAGTTAAACAAATGTTCTACAAAACTCCAGTTTTTTTTTTCAAAATTTTAGATATTGTTCTTGTGTTCCTTGAGAGACTGATTAAAATCTTACTTTTCAAAAAGGGGTGTACTCATTCATGCTGAGCACTGTATATACACACACACCTTTTTTTTTTGTCCTTTGAGTGGTATTTATTAATTACAGATACTTATATAGCGCTGTCAATTTTACGCTGTGCTTTACATATATATTGTACATTCACATCTGTCCCTAACCCTCAAGGGGTGTACAATTTAAGGTTCCTAACTCACATTCATACATATCCATACTAGGGCCAATTTAGACAGGAGCCAATTAACCTACCAGCATGTCTTTGGTATAGACAGTGTGGGGGAGATTCACTAAAACTGGATCATTCAGAATCGAGTGCAGCTGTGCAAGGTAGCCAATTAGCTTCTAACTTCCGCTTGGCCAGTTAAGCTTTGACAATAAAACCTGGAAGCTGATAGGTTTCTATGTAGAGCTGCACCAGATTCTGCACTCTCCAGTTTTAGTATATCAACCCCTGCGTGTCTTAATACTGTTATATATAACATCTTTATTCATTATCTTTGAGCTGTTTATGTGGTATACATTTTCATATTGCTTTATACTTAAACTATTATGAACATCTGTTTTACATTTACCCTAACAATACATCAATTGTTAGGATTGGTGTGTTTGTCCTGAAGAAGTGATCTCTGCTAAACACCTTGACAGAATAACAAACTGTTAGGGCGTCATATTTGTAATCCTCTATCTGTATATCCTTTTAAAATGTGTGTGGTGTTTTACATCTTTTTTGGAGTTTGTATAATACACTTGTGGTTTTAATAATTGTATAGGTTTTCAGAACACCAGTTTACTGGCAACCATAGCCTTTCACAAGGTGGATTTCAGAGATGAGTAACTTTGTTTGAGGGGTGGTGTTGTAAACACATGTTGAAAACACTATGCAGTTCTGTACACGACCGCACCTTGGTCCAAATTATTAATATCACAATCTGATAACTTTATACAGTGCAACTTTTTTTTTTAATGGATATTGTACATTTTGCTTGGGACATTATCAGCTAAATAGTTATGGTATAAATAAAGCCATCAAAACAATATGAAAGTAAAGGGTCAGTCCATCCAAACTGATATTTTAGTTGAATTACCAACTGACCAAAAACACCTTGACTTCTGAAATCTCTGAAATTCCAGTGGCTGGACCTCTGAAGCAGAGATCCTGGATTTGTACCTCCTGCAGTGATGTTTCCCTTCTCTTGCTGCACTGTTTTATCATCTAAAAAGGTAAAAGAAAAGTCCACTGGCAAAGGTCTAAAACAGTTGTGGCTAGTTAACAGACCTGAGAACTTTGATGCAAAGATCTCACAGCCAAATAACCAAAAATATGAGAAAGCTGGCAGGTGGTTTAACCTGCAGAAATCTACACAAAGCTAAAATACCTGTTTTGTATGGGCACTGCATTTAAACAGAACCATGTTATCCTAGTTGTGACATCATAAATTCAGGTCCTTTGAAAAAAGGCAATAGTTTGAGGCCGAATGCCCTCACTTCCGAGGCCTTCTTTCATAAAAGTATATCTTTGAAGAAAGGAATGAGCATTAAACACAAGGTACAAGCTATATATATATACACACAAAAAAAGTCATACTGTGTTTCAGCTCACTCAAAAAAGAATATTCAACTTTGGATAAAGGTAGCTTTTCAGACTGTCCAAATTAGTCTGCCTCTGAAGTTCAGAGCAATCCTTTTGGAAAAAAGGCTACAGAATCAATATATTTATAACTATCCAAGCATATGGATATAAAATTATTATCCAAAAATCTGTTGTATAATCTACTTCTCCACAGCTTCTGGAATTGAACTCAAGAGTGGCCCAGCCACAGCATATGCAGTAATAAGTTAAACAGTTAGTGCATTATAAGCCAGAGCGTTGATCTCATTGTTGCCGTTGTTCCAGTAAAGATTCAAAATCTGGTGAACAGACAAGTTTATGCTGAATATGTCCGAGAACCATCATCTCACCACGTCGGGCTTCCCCAACACTGACTGCCACCAGTTCCTACATAAGAGAACACAAAAGATATTGTTCATCATTAAGAAAACATGAACAGAAAAAAAATACAGTACCGTATAGAACCCTGAATACATGCACTAAAAGCTTAACTTAATAAATAAAATGTTTAATGAAATAACCTTTCAAAATTTGCAGCCTAAGAGGAAAACGTGCCAAGGTGGCAACATGTGATGTAAACACATGCTACTAGTAGGAAATTTATTATACTAAACACTCGGTAGGTAAAGCAAGGGAGGTACTATGCTGTCAATCTCTATGGGCAGAGGGAGAGAGGTTAATGCCACTGGAGGCTGCCTAGCGTGGAAGAATCACAATTTTACTGTGATGCCATCAATACAACTCATAGGACATATTACCTGTAAGACCACCCAAGCACTGCTGCAGTACTCCGAAAGTAAAGCTACCCCCCTTTCTGGCCAACTGCCTCTGTAATATATTCTGGGTTTCATTGTCCCACCTGGGGACCCAACCAAGACCAGCGGGAGATCAGCAAACATCTGTTTGCTGATCAAGCCTCTGACTAATGAGCACAGAAACAATGTGCGCTGTCACTTCTAGGTGTGGCTATCACTTTCCCAAGCTGCTGTGACCAGGGAAGAAACTAGTGGAGAAAGGTATGTGCTCCATTAGCTTCAGTGGAGGGCAGTGAAGACTTAAGAAAACTAAGTGTTGTTGGAGGGTGCAGGGTGAGTACCTCTTACAGTCTGTTTTAGGAGTTAGGCTTAGATTTATATTAGTTCTTAATAAACTGAACTGTGAATTAGATTGATCACCTGTAAGAAGGAGGAGGAAGTTCCTAAGGTGACATCAAGTGTAACTTTGCCCAAAGCAAGCTGCACTTTGCCCGATTTGCGCATAACTAGCTTTCCGATCTGTCCTTCAGACACATTACGCAATGAACAGATCTCCTCTGCTGCTGGGGTCTCCTGCAGATATAAAAATTAATAATTATACAATAATTTTAAACTTACAGCTTTAACCTGTCTTTGAGACAATATACATAAACAAATAAATATATAAAATGGCACTTGCTTCTATTTTGTAGGTACTGAGATAGACATTTCTAAGATATTTACAGAAAAATGTGAGGGTTCTTCCATTACTGTAGCATGGTTAGTTTAAAGGTAGACACTTTTTGGTACAGAACATGGGTAGGCAAACTTCAGTCCTCCAGCTGTTGCAGAACTACACATGCCATCACACCTATGCCTCTGGGACTCATGCTAATGGATTTCTGTCTTGCAATACCTAATGTGACTTGTAGTTCTACAGCAGCTGTCAGAGCCAGCGAGCGTCATCCTTGCCTAGGCAAGAAATAAGGAAGTGGGAGCAAGTACCTTCTAGAAAAGGTACTCAAGGTAACAGTACTGGTGTTCAGGCAGCTTGGGTGACATACAAGTCTTAAGTCAAGTTAAAATTGATCTTTCTGGAGCACTTTGGATTCTAAGCCCTGGAATATACATGGCCTCAACTTTTCACCAAGCTGACATTAAGCTCTAATGCCTTCCAGTGCTAACCTCCAACCTTCCATTCTGCCACAGCCTCAGTAAACAGACTGTCATTTGAGAATGGAATGATGGGCAGCACAGTGGCTAAATGGTTAGCACTTCTCCTAACTGCACTATGATCATTGGTTCAAATCCCAACCACGGCACCACCTGCCTGGAGTTTGCATGTTCTCCCTGTGCTTGCGTGGGTTTCCTCCCACACTCCAAAGACATGCTGGTAGGTTGTTGCTGTCATCAGAAGTTTTTTTTTACCTTCATGCATAATGCAAGATAAAAACCTTCAGCCTTTAGAACTACTTTAATCCCAAAATCAAGGCTCTCTTCACAGTCTGGGCCCTAGCACAGGGACTTGGAGGAACCTTAAAATGTTTTATTTATATTATATATATATATATATATATATATATATATATATATATATATATATATATTTAAAAAAAATGTTGGCAGTTCCAAGTAATTTTCTAGCAAAAAAAAAAAGTATTTATACTTGTAAACAAAAAGTGCCAGAAATGGCTTGGGGCTGATGTGGACATCCTCAGTGTGTCTTTCTGATTTAGAACAGCTTAAATTCAAAAAGTCTCCAACACACCTGACTTTTGTCCTTGACAAGTAACACGTGCCCATCCTCAGTTTGAACTTCACTGCGGACAGGGCGAGATTCCTGGCTAAGTGGCTGTCCTGGGAGAGTGTCTGGTAACTGCACAAAGAAGAGTGCATCCTCTCCGGAGATCCGCAGAGATTCCAGCAACTCTGGAAGTGAAACATCCTTCTTCTCTGGGGGCTTCTTCACTGCAGGGGCTTTGCACTGTGGGACACCAAGTTTCAAAACACTTTCCTCATCTTCCATTGGTTCTTCCTTAACTGAAAAAATAAAGCAGGCAAAATTTACAAAACAACAGTTCAAACATGAGGTGGGGGTGGGGTATTGGAGGGGTAAAACAGGTGGAACATGTAACATGTTGTCAAAGGTGAACTTATCCTTTAACCACTTGCCCTCCAGAGGATTTACTCCCCTTCCTGACCAGGCCATCATTTGCGTTACGGTGCTGCGTTACTTTAACATACAATTGCGCGGTCATGCAACGCTGCACCCAAATGAAATGTACACCCTTTTTTCCCACGAATAGAGCTTTCTTTTGGTGGTATTTGATCACCTGTGTGTTTTTTTTTTCTAAAAGACTGACAAGTTTGAGAAAAAAAAACAATATTTTTGTCTTTTTTGCTACTAAACATGCGCAATAAAAAATTTAACAAATCAAATTGTGTTATAAATTTATGCCAAAATGTATTCTGCTACGTCTTTGCTAAAAAAAATACCAATACAAGTAAATTAATTGGTTTCCGTGAAAGTTATAACGGGATTTTTTTTTTTTTTTTTTTTTTCTTACTAGTAATGGTGGCAATCAGCGACTGCAGCAGGTATTCTGACACTGGGGGGAGAACTGACTTGGTGTCACCGACATTCACAGTGACACCAATACAGTGATTAGTGCTAATAAAAAGCACCGACACTGTACTAATGGCACTGGGCCTAAAGGGGTTAACATCTGGAGAAATCAAAGGGTTAAATGTGTGCTGTTTAGCATGATGTTCTGTGTTTGTGTTTCACTGTAACCACACTGCTTTGCATGGCTGTTTAAAGCTACTGTTTAAAGGATCACCTTTGGTAACATGTAACACTTGTATTTAGAGTGTAGCATGCAACATGTTACAAAAGAACACCTGGCTGCACCCCTCCAATTCCCTGCTGTGACAGCAGGTGGGGGATCTTCTCATTGCACCCGTGGTCACAATTTAAAAAAAGCATGGCTGTGCAGGACTCCGCCCAAACAGCCACATCAATGTGAATTAATCAATTACCAACTGCCACCACTGCAGACGGCTTGTAGTTTCTCAATGAACTTTCAAAGGCGCTGGCGGGCACTTTGTAGTTCATTGATCTTCCTGTAGCTGTCTGCCTGTATGGAAGGTAGAGGCAGACAGCTATAATGAGATTCTGCAGAAGCATGACATTGCAAATCTGCTAATTGCAGGTGCAATGCTCTGCAGGCATCAGAAAAAGGAAATGTGAACTTCGCCTTTAAATGAACACAGTGGGGTTGATTTAATAAGGCCTGGTTCACACCAATGCATTTTTTAGTCCATTTTGCAGAAATGCAATACAGTCCATTTAACATGATTTCCTATGGGGGCATGTTCTCATCTATGCTTTTTTGAGCTGCTGCATTTTTGGAAAGGGTCAGGGAATTTTTTAAACACAAAAAGCAGTGCCTTTGCTACAATAGAGTTTAATGGAGATGCTACTGAAACACAAAAAAGAAACAAACAAAAAAAGGCATTCAAAAATGCAAAATGCACTGCAAAACTAACAAAACTCACACCACATTGGTAGCTATTCAGCTTCTAACTTCAGCTTGTTCAATCAAGCTTTGACAAAAAATCTAGAAGTTCATTGGTTTCTATGCAGATCTGCACAAAAGGTTGCACTCTCCAGTTTTAGTAAATCAACCTGAGTCTGTTTAGTGCATATCAATGGTAGCTGACAGCAGAATAAGCAGGTTCTCCTATTAAAAAAAAACAAAACACAAATCTGCACCTTCTGTTTGCTTTTAGGTACATTCTACCTCCATTTTAAAACGTTTTTGGAATTATTCAGAGTGATGAGCAGTTGACCTACACTTCCTGAACCTGCTTTATCCCCACTGACTTGTATGGTGGCCAAAGCAATTCAGAAGGAAACAAAAGCCTGTTGACACAAGTTTATCTGGATATTAGTCTCCTGTAAACACCTGTGCAGAATAGGAGGGAAAGGGCAGAACTTAGGGCTTTATTTCTTTGTATAGTGATACAATAAACATGTTCACAGAAGAAGTGCAGAGGGATAACCTATTTAGTCTGTGCAGTGGTTCAAGAACTGCATGTGCTGTCTGATAATCATCTGGATCACAGATTGAAAAACATTACAGATCCTTGGGCAGGAGAAGGAATAATTCACATATGTATCTGTGTTGGCTGTTTGCCTGGATTCGGGTTTAAGAAAAAGGATCCCCTTCAAAATGTACTAACCTTTCACAGATGAGGGGTCCACTTCCATCTGTTCTTTGGGGAAAACAGGCTGTGTGTTCTCTTCATCATCTTCCCTAAATAGCCAGCCAGAATGTGCCAATGGGAGCTGTACAGGATGATTCTGCGCATCATTGCGTAAACCTGGGTCATCCAAAAACTGTAAAAGGACAGTAAACGTTTGTAAAAGTTTGTCCATGCAACATGTTAATGATCACAAACACGGGTATATTGACAAGAAAGTAGCTCAACCAGAAGACATTCTGTATATTAGACTGACCAGGTAATATTTTTTACCTCAATCCAACTATACCACTGTGGTGTCATCTAAAACAGACTGTTCAAGCAAAACAAGCCAAAATGTATATGCTCCCTTACCTAAGAGTTGCTTAGTATCACATCAACAAGCAGCAACAGCAAGAACCATTTGTTTAAAAAGAATTTAAAAAACACATTTGAGTACTGTCTTTAGATGTAATAGGTAATACAGGTCTTTTTTTTTTCTTTTTTTTCAAAAAAAACAATCACATGGAAAAGTATTAAAGAGAATCAAGAGAGAATAAAAACCAAACAGAAAACAACATTTCCTTCAATAAGGCAACCCACCTTATCATTTTTCAGCATTTGCAGGATCTGTTTAGTTTCCTCTTCAGTCTCCCTTTTCTCTCGTTTTATGTTGATGATGTGGGAGGGACCAATATCACCAGAATCAGATGGCCCATCCCATGCAGCTAAAGAGAAAAAAAACAAAAAAAACAAAAACGTAATCTGTTTACACTTGCACTATGGTAGAAAATCTGTCAAAGACAAAAGAATGAACAGCAACAGCACTTGGCCACAAAAACACAAATTCTGAAAATCTAGGTCTGCTAAAAAAAAAAAAAAAATAATAATATGCAGATATTGAAATCCATATACTTTGATGAAACAGGATATTGATAAATTTGTACATTAGCAAGCATGTCACTTTAAACAGGGGCAACAGCTAGTTCTAAACACAAGTAGACAAAATACTGGTGCTTTACTCTTAAGTATGTATTAGGAGCCATTGATCAATGTGATTTCAGATATCTCCACCCTTTCAGGAGGTGAAACATTGAAATTTGAATATGTGGTGGAATTAGAATTTAATTGTCAGGGCATAATAGTTTATATGCGTTGGGCACAGCGGCACAGAATATTTATTCCAATATCCAGTACACACAGGTTGGATGTCTAAATAATACAAACAAAAGTCCAGAGTGGAGCTTTAAGAATTTCATACATGGCATCTAAAAAAGGGTTTTCTACTTTCCAAAAATATCTCCGCATAAGGCCCCTTTCACACTGCAGCACATATAAAATGCACAATGCTTTTTTGAAAAACCATGTAGCACATCTTAAATGCGTTGCATGCATCGCATACAGCTGTGAGTAGCTGGTTGTTAAGGACGCCATCAGGGCCAGATCCTTAATCAGCTATTCGCTGGTGGTTAAAGTGATAGTAAAGTCTGTTTTTTTAACTTGTACCTACAGGTAAGCCTATAATAATTAATTAGCTGTGTAGAGCAGCAGCAGATGCGCTCTGAAGGAAAGACATGCCAGGATGGTAGAAAGTCATCACGGCTCGGTCATTCAAGCTGCCAGCGCTCGCAAACCCGGAAGAAGGACCTAGTGAAGATGGAAGTCCTGTCAGCTGTGACAGCACGCCTTTGTCTTGCAGGGGAAAACTTTTTTTTTCATAGTAGAGTTTACTACTGCTTTAAGGACACCATCAGGTTAAGGAGCCTGACAATGTCCTTAACAACCAGTGATAATTCCTCCCCTGTGGTCAGCATGCTCCAGCTCAGGAACAATGCTACCACCGGAGGAGCGGGGGGGGGGGGGGGGGGGGAGGCAGAGAGACAGTAAGCAGTACAGCAAGGAGCATCGGCTCCCAGAATCTGAGAAAAGAAGGTGGGGGAAGGCCAGATCCGAAGGGAGGAGATAGGGGAATGCCAAACTGAGCTACCGGTGAGCAGTAGGGGACAGGAGACTGTGGGTCACGGTTTACATCCCCGCTGATTGTTAACCAATTCAATACCGGGCAATTTTACACCTTCCTGCCCAGGTCATTTTTCAGGTTTCAGCGCTCTCACACTTTGAATGACAATTGCGCGGTCATACAACATTGTACCCAAATTAAAATTTTATCATTTTCTTCACACAACTAGAGCTTTCTTTTGGTGGTATTTAATCACCGCTGGGGTTTTTATTTTTTGCTAAATTAACAAAAAAAGACCAAAAATTTTGAAAAAAACAAAAACACATTTTTCTTTGTTTGTTATAAAAGTTTACAAATAAATAATTGTTCTTCATAAATTTAGGCCAAGATGTATTCTGCTACATGTCTTTGGTGAAAATAACCCAAATTAGGATGTATTTTTTAGTTTGTAGGAAAGTTATAGCGTTCACAAACTATGGTATAGATCTGAAAATTGATCAATCCTGAAGTACTGACAGCCAATTCTAATTTCTTGAGGTCCAAGAATGTCAGAACAGTACAGATATCCTCCAAATGACCCCTTTTTGTAAAGTAGACAGTACTTCATAAGAGGCATGGCGAGTGTTTTGAAGTTGTATTTTTTTTGGCATAATTTTTCAGAAAATGAAAAAAATTATTTTCACTATTTTTTTTTTTTACACACTGTCACCAGTGCAGTACAGCATCATCATATAACTGGCATGGCGGTGATCAGGGACACTGACTGGTGACAGTATGTATGTATATATATATATATATATATATATATATATATATATATATATATATATATATATATACACACACACACACATACATACTTATTTTTAATTTATTATTTTTTTCATATTTTACTATGACCAAAGTAGTACAATGTTACCATAGTAACATTGTACTACTTTGGGGAAGTGATCAGTATTTTTTTTTTTTTTATTTTACACAATTTGCTTATAGCAAAGAATTACTTTGCTATAAGCAAGCATTTACCTGAATGACATCGATTCATTCAGGGTTTTTTTTTTTTTTTGCTTAGCTGTGATTTGGCCACAGCTATTCACATGACATGTGCATGTGATCGCTGTGACCATTCACAGCTAGACACTAGTATACAATGGATGGCATGAATGAAGCCATCCATTGTATACAACTGTCATGTGACCTGCTGTGATTGGTCACAGCATGTCACATGTAACGGCCAACGGGGCCGATACTCAGATCTGTCGTCGGCCGTGTCCAAGGTACACGGCCGGTGACAGATCGCGCCGCTGCGCGGCTCTGCAAGCGCGAAAACTGCGCATGTGCAGGAGGACGCCAAATGGCGTCCACCCGGAAAGCTAGTGCATTTTTGGCCGGGCGGCAAATGGTTAAGGAAGATGGCATGTGCCAGCTCCTTAACCAGCTATTCACTGGTGGCTAAGGATGCTGCCCCTTAACTGATTAGGGATTTCACGGCTTTACACCTGAAATGAACAACCTTGCAGACGAGAGCTCCGAATTATATGTTTATTAGAGATAATACAATTGTATGAGAGCACCCATGCCCTGCCCATCAGATGCTCTCATTAGATATGTGACAGTCCAAACTTTTATAAGGTTTTTTTTATGGCTTGTTGCCCACCTTTATGCTTATCAGTTACACTCCAGAATATTTGCCTTTTACATGTCAGCAACAAAACCACCTAAAAATGCACCCTGGGTGCGATTTTGGTGTGGTTCCCATTGACTTCAATGAAAGGTGCATCTTTGGATGAAAGCATGCAGGACTTTTCAAACCGCAGCACAAACAAAGTGATGTGAGAAGTCTCAAACTTTAAAAGCAAAATTATTTTTTATGCACTTTTGTGCCGCTGGAAAGGTGCGTTCCAGCGTGGAAAAAGCACATCAGTGGTAAAAGGCCCTTACTGTGGAGCAGGAAACAGGATCAAAGTACTGCATGAGGAAAGCTATTATCATCATCAGGAGAGTATCACATTGGGTCCAGAAGCTCACCTGATTCATATATGAACAGATATTTCACTGCCTATCTTTCTAGGGGAGTTGAATTCCCATCTATTAGCACCCTAACAAAGTCAGTGATTGGTAGCATAGATACTTTACTTAGTAAGAAAAAAAAAAAAAAATATATGAAGGCAAGAGTCCATCAGGTTTAACCAATACTAATCCAATCTCTCCTAAGTATTACTTTTCTTTTTGAGCTGTTCTGCTGGTCCCTGCTCAAAGATGGAGTGACTCTGGATAACTTGTGGCCTCCCTCGTCCCCTTCCCGGTCCATCTCCTCGTCGATCCCTATTACGTTCAGATCTCTCAACTTTTACTGAAACCTCCTCTTTTGGTCTAGATAAAAAGGTAAAATCAAATTTAAAAATGCACAAAAAAATAAACAGAGGTCTGGTGAAAAATGCAGATTCAAAATCACAGACAAAAACAATTTTTTTTTTGGGAGACCTATAATTTAAATAGGAAAAGACTACAAAAAACCCAGATAATTCAGTTCTTAGCCAACCAGGTGGTATTCAGTCTTGTTTTAATCCTTAAAAAAATAAATAGAGTGGTTAGATCTACTGACCAGGGTTCCCAGCTATGCGTGCCTCCTTTTGCTATAACAGTAGCACCTACTCTAGCTACAATCTCCACAGTATAAACTGCACAGTTACTGAGGGACTCTCTTAAAAATAACAGACCCCATAAGAGGAAAAATAAAAAGCTTCTGTCAAAACTTAAAATAAATCTTTTAAAAATCAGAAGCAGTAAATAATTGCTTATCCCTATGAAAGAGATTCTGAATATATCCAAAAAATATGCATATATTACTGCCCATATAGACATGAGTGTGTCTCTCTGGGCATATGTGTATATATTAATTACCATTCAATATATCAATCACTTTATTCATCTATTTTTTATGAATAGTCATTTCTATAAGTTAGGATCCATTTTTTTTAGCTCACATGAGTGTGCATGTATGTGTATACTGTATAAATGTATATAAATACATGAATGTGATTTTTTATTCATTTATCCTTGCCAAATGACTGTTTACATTTTCATTTTTCTTGTTACATTGTAGCCCTGATGAAGGGGGCAATGTGTGGCCCCCAAGACATGCTGGTTCTTGTACCCAATTAATGTTTGTAATAAACCCTTAGTTTAGACTCTAATATTTCAGTGTGAAGATTCAAAAACTTGAAAAAAGAAAAAAAAATTACAGGAATAATGCTGATCTCCTCCTGAAAATGCAGGCTGCCTCGTTGTCATAGTGATCCTCTACCCCAATTTCAAAAAAAGGTGAACTGAAAGAATGCAGCAAGTAAAAGGTAGAACCTCTAAACTACTTACTTGTTGCAGGTCGGTGACTCAAAGTATTGAAACCAGAGGATAAACACGATTACCAAATAACTAGCACTTTCAAAGGGAGACCAGCAATGGATAGTTGACATACTCTCTCCCTCCTGACAGGTTTCCTTTATGCCCACACCCAATTATAGAGCATGTGCCACACATGGACAGGTAGAAAAGCAGGCACAACTAGAATTATGTGCAAGACAGATACAGGGTACATAAAGATACTTACTCTTCTTTAATTTTCCGTCCAATTATGTTTGGAGCAAACGTTTTCTGTACAGAAATTAAAGAAAAAAAAAAATCACAAAACATGACAAATAGGTTTTAAGGTTTAAATGTAGCATTTATCCAACCTTTCGTACAGATAGTGCTGTATTTAAAGAAGAACTGGAAAAAAGTTCCATTGTAACCTATATGCCTGCACTGTAAATCTTAGACATGGATATACACTGCTCAAAAAAAAGTAAAGGAACACTTTTTAATCAGAGTATAACAAGTCAGGAAGGGGGGGTAAATCCTCAGGAGGGCAAGTAGTTAATCAGAGTATAGCATCAAGTCAATTAAACACCTGGGATATGGATCTGATCAGTTAAGTAGCAGAGGGGGTTGTTAATCAGTTTCAGCTGCTTTGGTGTTAATGAAATTAACAGGTGCACTAGATGGGCAACAATGAGACGATCCCCAAAAAAGGAATGGTTTTACAGGTGGAGGCCACTGACATTTTTTCCCCTACGCATCTTTTCTGACTGTTTTTTTCACTAGTTTTGTATTTGGCTAGGGTCAGTGTCACTACTGGTAGCAGTAGGCGATACTGGACCCTACAGAGGTTGCACAGGCAGTCCAACTCCTCTAGGATGGCACATCAACACATGCCATTGCCAGAAGATTTGCTGTGTGTCCTAGCACAGTCTCAAGAGCATGGAGGAGATTCCAGGAGACAGGCAGTAGTAGTAGGGCTGAATAGAGCCATAGAATGTCCTTAACCCATCAGCAGGACCAATATCTGCTTTGGCGAGGAAAAAAATGAGCACTTCCAGAGCCCTACAAAATTACCTCCAGCAGGCCACCGGTGTGAATGTCTGACCAAACAATCAGAAACAGACTTCATGAGGGTGGCCTGATATCCTCTAGTGGGCCCTGTGCTCACTGCCCGACAGCATAGAGCTCGATTGGCATTTGCCATTGAACACCAGGATTGGCAGGTCTGCCACTGGCGCCCTGTGCTTGTCACAGATGAGAGCAGGTTCACCCTGAGCACATCTGGGTCTGGAGAAACCATGGAGAACATTATGCTGCCAGTAACATTATTCAGCATGACCATTTTGGTGGTGGGTCAAGTTATGGTCTGGGGAGGCATATCCATGCAGAGACTCACAGACCTCTACAGGCTACACAATGGCACCCTGGCTGCCAATAGGTATCGGGATGAAATTCTTGGGCCCATTGCCAGACCCTACGCTGGTGCAGTGGGTCCTGGGTTCCTCCTGGTGTACGACAATGCCTGGCCTCATGTGGCGAGTATGCAGACAGTTCCTGGAGGATGAAGGAATTGATACCATTAAATGTCCCCCCCCACGCTCGCCTGACCTAAATCCAAAAGAACACCTCTGAGATATCATGTTTCGGTCCATCTGATGTCGCTAGGTTGCACCTCAGACTGTTCATGAGCTCAGTGATGCCCCTGGTCCAGATCTGGAAGGAAATACCCAAGGACACCATCCGTCATCTCATTAAGAGCATGCTCTAATGTGTCATACAAGCACGTGGGGGCCATACAAACTACTGAGTACCATTTTGAGTTGCTGCAATGAAATTTCACAAAATGGACTAGCCTGCTGCATAATTTTTTCACTTTGATTTTCAGGGTATCTTTGAATACTGTCCTCTGTAGGTTGATAATTTCCATCAAACGATGGGGCAGCCTTACCTGCCTAACACATTACCCAGTCCATATCAGTATAGATATCTAGCATGATATTTTTCCCCATTGAGATCTGATGTGTTTTCAAAGTGTTACTTTCATTTTTTTGAGCAGTGGATATGTAAAACCCACCTTTCGGACACCACCAAGGGTAAGATCCCTGGAGCGGATAGAGGGAAGACGGCCTGGGGTGAGGGGAGTTGAAGGCCTACGTCCCAACAGGCCTCTACCAGCTGCCATGGGAGTCCTAGGGCAAGAGTCATTTTTCTGAGCTCCATCAGACATCCTGTAGGAAGGCGAAAGGTAATCACTACAATACACTTCTGCAAGGGAAACACATGAGAATAGATGGATGTACTAAAAGGATGTTAGGGAAGAACAACAAATACTACATCAACCTTACAAATAAAAGTATAGGATTAAGCAAGAAAGCATTAAAAAGACCTTGAACCTTCATTTTCTCTTTAACATGCCAAATACAAAGAAAAAAAAAAAAAAAAGGAAACACAAATCGGCAGCCATCACAAAGTTTCTTCCAGAGGATCTGGGTGCACTGATGTCGGGTACAGTCTGCAGACCAGCCATTTTCAACCAGGGTTCCTCCAGGGGTTGCTAGGGGTTCCATGAGCAATGAAGGATTTACCCATCATCTGATGGTACCTACATAATTCCTGACCAGGTCACTTGGAAGAGCCAGCAACAAAACACCAATGATCTCTTTAGTGGTCTGTAAGGTGTGCTCTCCTGCTGACCACCACTGTTAAAGGGCATTATTCCCACTGACCACAAAAGTAAGGGGTATTCCTCCATAATACAATGCCCTTCTCCTTTTGACCACCAATGTAGGAAGACACCCCTCCCAATGACCACCAAGGTAAGGGGACAACCCTCCTAGTGACTATCAACATAAAAAAGTCCTGTGAAGTGAAGGAGTCATTCTGTGTTGCTCTGGACATTAATATTTTTCATACAGATTTCTGATTGTTACCAAAAATTATTTTTATAAGTTATTAAATTAAATAATCCATTAAATTATTATACAGCAGGAGGTTATTAAAGGCTAAGTTCACTTTTAGAAAAAAAACAAACAAAACAAAATTGGCATATTTTTGCAGGAAAAAAAAAATGCATTCTATTTTTCACAGGAGCTTGCATAGCACTGCTCCCACAATCAATGAATCGGAGGTGCAATGTCCGTCTTCTGCAGACACTGCCTCCAGCTCTGTGCAAGCTGTCAGTGTCAAAACTGTAGTCAGTGTGAATAGACTACTAGCATGCTAATTAGCACCTTCACAGTCCATTGAAACTACAAGTCCTTCTGCTGCGTTGACAGATAGGACTTGTAGTTTTATTCAGTCAAAGATCTCTGTGAATGACGTGGCTATGCACCTGAGGAATCATGCACACTGTGCTTTAAAAAAAAATCCGATTTATAGGCGGTATAACTTTTTTTTTCAGCCTGTAAACACTAAAAAAACTATATATATATATATATATATATATATATATATATATATATATATATATATCTCCAGCGCACTCTGGAAAGTGAGTGAGATGAAAAGCAGAGAAAACACAAACTACGCCTAAATGCCAGAAGAGCTTAGATGCATTCAAGCGTTAATTTATTCTAATGGCCAGAATAGGCATTTTTTTAACTTGCTTTTTCCATCCAGGAGCAAAAGGCGTTTAGAGAAAAAATTCTACCACTCTGTACATGAGCCCTTAAAGTGGTCCTAAAGGCAGAAGGTTTTTTTTTATCATAAAGCATAACTAAAGGCAAAAAACTTTTTTTTTTAACTTTGGATAGATGGCAGAGCGATTAGAATCCCTTTCAGTTTTTATTGTCTGTGTCCCAGTTAGGGAGATTCACCCTCTCTGTCCCGTTTACCATTAATCATTGAAACAAACAAAGTAAAAGAAACCCCAAATTTTGGGCTCTCCTAAAAAAAAGTAATAGAGGGGAAAATTTCCACTGGGGACATTAGTTCTGGTGAGCTGGGGCTCCCCAAGGAATTCCCTTAATTTGCAGAGATTTTCTCACTTCCTGTTTTGGCTATGGGACAGGAAGTGAAGGGACATTTCCCCAACAGAAACCACATGGCAAAAAGATAATCTGACTGGGGTTATAAGACTCCATTGCTCTAACAGCTGACCTCCTCCCACCACTTCATCCCCCACAGCCATTTCCTCCTGTACCACTTTCCCCTCCCTCCTAGATTGTAAGCTCGAAAGAGCAGGGCCCTGGAACCCCTCGTGTATTGTATTGTTTCGGTCTTGTCTCATGTTCTGTCCCCCTTGCTATTGTACAGCGCTGAGCAAACCCTTTTGCGCTATATAAATACTGTAGAATAATAATATCCAAAATGAAAAAGAAAATTGCCTATAGTTCTACTTTAATGCATTCTATGCTCTAAGTTAAAGTCTGGGTGCAGTGCCCCCCAGGCACCCCTTATATTTACCTGAGCCCGATCTCAATCTAGTGCATGAGAGCAGCAGCTCTCCTGGATCTCTTTCTACTCACTGGCACAGCAGCAGAAGCCATCGGTTCCTGTTGCTGTCAATCAAAGCCAATGAGGAGAGAGCAGAGAGGCCGAACCACGCTGTGTGTGAATGGACAACGTCCATTCAAGAGACCCAGCCTGCTTGAGTGCCTCTATAGCAAGAGGCCTGCTATTGAGGGCACTCGGCAGGTGGGAGGAACAAGGCCTGCCACAAAGATCGGGGCTAAAAATAAATCTTTTTTTTTTTAAATTACAACTTTCAGAATCACTTTAACGTATTCCTTTTATTTTATTTTATTTTTTTTATTATTATTACAATTTTCAGAATTACTTTAATGTATTCCTTTTATTTCTTTTATTACAACTTTCAGAATCACTTTAATGTATTCCTTTTATTTTGTTTTTTTTTTATTATTACAATTTTCAGAATCACTTTAATGTATTCCATTTCTTTTTTTTTTTACAACTTTCAGAATCACTTTAATGTATTCCTTTTATTTATTTATTTTGTTACAACTTTCAGAATCACTTTAATGTATTCCTTTTATTTATTTATTTTGTTACAACTTTCAGAATCACTTTAATGTACTCCTTTTGTTTTATTTTTTTAATTACAGCTTTCAGAATTACTTTAATGTATTTCCTTTTATTTTTATGTCTTAACTATATTTTCCAACATAACATTTGTCTTCACTAAGACTAGATTCACATGTGTGCAGGTGGTACTGCTGCAAAACCCCCACAAATACCGACAGCTGCAACCACCCACACAGAGAAATGCAGGACCCTCGGGCGGGTGGCATTAATCCTAATGGCACGCCGTCCGCGCTGAAAATCGCAACCATACTGGGAACCCCAGGTTCTCACATGGGCTGCAATTACAGAAATAATGCAGAGACTTCTTTCCTGCGTATCCCGGGGCAATGAATGGGTTCTCGTGCCCGCAACGCATACAGCTGTGTACCTAGCCTACATTTGACAGTGAAAGACGCAGATGACAAAAATAAGATTAAAAAAATATGAACCTGTGTACAGAAAGTGAAAAAAGATCAGACAGGTGAAAATAAATTCCAGGTACAAAAAAAATATCTCAGGGCTGAATAGTATAACTAGCAGCGATATGTACTCTCTTCCTGGATGACTCCCTATACCTTCATACAGGCTCCGGAGCTTTATTAGCCAGCCATGGGGCACCATGTACTCTATACGATCCTCAAAGATCTGTATGGTCAATATACAGGACTGATCGCAACACTCACCTTACTATGATCACCACCGCATGTCTACCACCAACACAGCTCCCCGAGTGATGAGACGCTCTACTGCACGTCACTTCCGCTCCATAGCAAAGCACTCTGGGGGATGTAGTTCCCAGGATGCTGCTGAGCAGTCACGTGTCTTTACTGTGTTGATGTCTGGAGAAGCTGAGCAGAGTCAGTGTGAGAGAGGAGGTAGGTGATATAACTCCTCAGCCGGTCTTCCTCTGCTCTCCAAGGTTTGAAGACTTGTCCCTGGAGGTGTCCCCTGGTCGTACTATTAATATGTCACATTCTGGATGACGAAGAAAGTTATAAAATGATGTGAGAAAGAAACTTCCATCAGGTGCACTACACCAGTGACTGATTCAAACAGATAAAGGAGATTTTAATTGCTTCTGCCCCAAACCAGTTCTGACATTCCTCTCCTACATGTAAAAAATATGCATTTCTTTGCTAGAAAATTACTTAAAACCCCCAAACATTGTATTTTTTTAAGCAGAGGGCCCTAGAGAGTAAAATGGTGAATGTTGCAATTTTTTTATGTCACGTGGTATTTTCAAACCCATTTTTTTTTAACCACATGCCGCCCAGCCACTGTAGAAATACGGCGGCAGGGCGTTACGGCTGGGCAAAAGCACGTTTTAAAACAGGTGGGTGCGCGCGAGGCGCGCCGCCGCCCTACCTCTCCCGCAGATCACAGCCGCGGATGTCAGTCGCCGGGTCACAGCCGGTCGTTATCGGCTATGTCCCGGCAATCGGCAGCAATCAGTGACAGAGCACAGCTGCAGTAGCTGTGCTTTCTGTCAGTTCCCTGACAGCTCCAGGACACGCTGATCGGGACAGAAGAGTTTCTCTCTCCCGATCAGTGGTGTTCCCTGCAGTACACACCCCCGCCCCCTAGTAAAACACTCCCCCTCACACAGTTAACCCTTTCCCTGAAAAATAAACTTAACCCCTTCCTCCCCAGTGCCATTAGTACAGTGTCAGTGTTCTTTTCTTTTTTTTGCACTGATCACTGTATTGGTGTAACTGGGGATGTCAGTGACCCCAAGTCAGTACCCCCCAATGTCAGAATGTCCGCCGCAGTCCCGCCATAAGTCGCTGATCACTGCCATAAGTCACTGATCGCCGCCATAAGTCGCTGATCGCCACCATTATTAGTATATAAAAAAAAACTAAAAATCCCAGTTTCTTTCCCGCCATTTGTAAACACTATAACTTTCACGTAAACCAATTAATTTACACGTATTGGTTTTTTTTTATTTTTTTATCAAAGACATGTCGCAGAATGCATTTTGGCAGAAATGTATGACTAAATTTGATTTTTAAATTTTTTTTTACTGGACATGTTTTATAGCAAAAAGTCCAAAATATTGTTTTTTATCCTCAAAATTGTCAGCCTTTTTTTTTATAGCGCAAAAAATAAAAACCACACAGGCGATCAAATACTACTGAAAGAAAGCTCAATTTGTGGGAAAAAAAGGATGTAAATTTCATTTATGTACCGTAGTGCATGACCGCGCAATTGTCCGTTAAACTAGCGCAGCGCTGTATAGCAAAAAAAATGGCGTAAATTCCAGTATTTATACCATAGTTTGTAGACGCTATAACTGTCACACAAAGCAATCAATATACACTCACTGGGATTTTTTTTACCAAAAACATGTAGCAGAATACATTTTGGCCTAAATTTATAACCAACTTTGAGTTTTACTATATATTTTTTATAGCTGAAAGTAAAAAATATTGTTTTTCTTCAAAATTCTTGGCCTTTTTATGTTTATAGCGTGAAAAATAAAAAGCGTACAGATGATCAAATACCACCGAAAGAAAGCTCTATTTGTGTGAAAAAAGGGACGTAAATTTTGTTTGGGTGCAGCATTGCATGACCGCGCAATTATCAGTTGAATTAGTGCAGCACCGAGTAGCAAAAAGAGGCCTGGTCATTAACCTCCCTAGCGGTATGATTATTTCCGATTTTTTGTGCTGAAAGCGGTTACCCTTTTTTGCATGGAAATATGTAATTTTTTTATTGTAGGCTGTAATATTTAGGAATAACTCACTGAAATCTGTCCGAACAAGAGTCTATTAAACATCCTGGGTATGATAAAATTTGAAACACAAAATCATAAATTATAATTTAATAAATAATCATAAAAAATAATAATATAATAATATTACATTTAATTCAATAATATAATCAAAGCAAAAACACTGAAATTTGAAATATAGCGCCAAGTTCGCACATTGCTGAGCAAAGTCGCAAAATCGTTTTCAGTGTCTGATGACGAATTTCCCCACGAATCATTATCACTTAATTCTGCAAGTGGTTCTGATTTACTATCGCTGTTCTCTAGCTGATCTAAAACCGCTTTTGACCTAAAGGGACACTTTTTGGACGCCATGGACTTTTCTAAGTTTCCAGGCAGAAAGAACATTCAAAATGCAGACAGGGGACAGGAAAGAGCACTAGGGACAAAATGTATGTGAAATGGGTTTGAAACAGCAATGTTTTACTATGTAAAATCGTTTTGAAAAAAATGAAATTTTTTTTTAAATTTTCAAATTTCCCATCGCCGCCGGCGCCCATACGTCCCGACGTCACAGGGACCGGAACACAGGAGCCGGATGCCGGCATCAGCCGGAGGAGATGGCCGGGGACGCTGCAGGGGACACATCGCGGGAGCGAAGGACAAGGTAAGTGCTGCAGGGACTCCCTATGCAGCGCCGCATGGTAAGCCCGAGTGAAGCTCGGGGTTTCCGCTTTTGGTACTGACATTTTACCCCGAGCTACACTCGGGAATACCGTTAGGGAAGTTAAGGGGAGTAAATCCTCTGGAGGTCAAGTGGTTAAATACACATTATTTTAATGCACAAAAACCACAATATAATAATTATTTGGTAAAATATAAAAGATGATGTTACGCCAAGTAGATACCTAGCATGTCACACTTTAAAATCGCTTGTGAAATGGCTATAAACTATGGTAATTAACCACTTCAACATCGGGCACTTTTACCACCCTCCTGCCCAGGCCAATTTTCAGCTTTCATCGGTGTCGCAGTTTGAATGACAATTGCGCTGTCATGCAACACTGTACCCATATGAAATTTTTTTTTTACGCAGAAATAGAGCTTTTTTTTGGTGATATTTAATCACCACTGAGTTTTTTATTTTTTGTTAAATAAAGCAAAACCTGAAACTTTTTTTAAAAAACTAATTTCTCTGCAAACATTTCTTCATAAATTTGGGTCAAAATGTATTCTGCTACATTTCTTTGGTGAAAATACCCCAAATTAGTGTATATTATTTAGTCTGTAGGAAAGTCACAGAGTCCACAAACCAAGGTATATATATATCTGATAATCGATCAATCCTGATGTACTGATGGCCCATCTCATTTTTTGAAGCCTGAAAACGCCAGGATAGTACAAATACCCTGCAAATTACCCATTTTTGGAAAGTAGACAGTTCAAGGTATTTAGTAGGAGGCATGGTGTGTTTTTTTGTAGGTTGTCTCCATAGGCAACTTTTTTAAAAGCCTTTACAGGATACCAGTTGAGAGTTACACAAGAGTGCTGGTACTAGAATTCTTGCTGTCGCTCATGACAGGTTATACCTCACATGTGCAATCACCATTTGCATACAGGGACCAACACATGCGTTTGCCTTTGTGCGTGAACACGATGGGACGGGGGCACTTTAAAACATTTTTTTAATTATCTAATTGGTTTTTTTTTTTACACTGTAATTTTTATCCTTTTTTTTAATCTTTTTTTTTTATTTTTACTTTTTTTATCACTTTTATTGCTGTCACAAGCAATGTAAACTTCCCTTGAGATAACAATAAAGCATGACAGGTGCTGTTTTTTGTAGAGATCTGGGGTCTATTGTCCCATAGTTCTCCTCTAGCCTCGAAGGCATCAGATCCCACCAAGATCGGTATGATCTGATGCTTGTTGAAGCCGTTAACAGCTTTTCAACTGAGCCCAAAAACTGGAAGTGACAAAATCCTCCTCACTTACAGTTTATGACATCACACAGTGGGAGGACCAACAGCTGTTCCTTTAACTGCGTCTCTTTAGCCTCTTGGATTGCTTTAACCGGAGACAGAATCAATGGCAGAAGATTATGATATCTCCGTCATCACTGCAGCGACGACTGAGATAACACCATTCCCATCTAAGGATGTTTGGGCACATCCTATAGTCAGGAGGTGCTTAAGTAATAATAATACCTATCTCACTACTGCAGAACCATGACCAGGACATTTTTTGCTATTCAGCACTGCGCTACTTTAACTGCCAATTGTGTCGTCATGCAACATGGTACCAAAATGACATTTTTTATAATTTTATTCAAACAAATAGAGCTTTCTTTTGGTGGTGTTGTATATAAAAACAAAAAAAAATACAATATTTTGAAAAAAAAAATATTTTTTACTTTGTGTTAAAAAAAAAATATCTAATAAAATCAAATTTCTTCACAAATTTAGGCCAAAATGTATTCTGCTTGGATTCTACTCCCGCAACCAACCTCCAGCTAGATAAGATGAGAAAGGAGTTGAACTTATGCCTTACCAACATTTCCGAGAAACAACTTCGCTGGACCAACCAGAAATTCTATGCTCAGAGCAATAAACTCGAACCCATACTGGCGAAATGCTTACATCATATTACATCACAACACAAACCTATAGCACTTTGCACGTGTTGCCATGCACTAACAAGCAAATCTCTGGAGATCTTGAAGGAGTTCCTCCACAACCTGTCCCACCTATTCTTCAATCCTGAACCTTTCTCTGTCGTTCAGAGTCAAGCTTTTGCCTTCAGTTGCCCTCCCTTCCTTCCATCTCACTGATGTAACCTCTTGGAAGCAGACATCACGGACTGCAACATTTTAATGGCCATTGGGGGTAAGGTATGTATGCAGCCTGTACCAGATGGATACATCACTCTATTTTATAGGAAATCTTCCAACCTCTGCACTCCCCATTAATGGATAGTTTTTTTACTTCATGAAAACCGGATAGCCCTTTTCCCCCCAAGTCCTTGTGGGCCAACGTGGT